AGTTGGAAGATTTTTACAAATCGTAACTGATAATTCACATCGCTACCATTCTGACTTGACAAATGGAACAGTTTATGAAACTGTTATTACCTGAAGTATGAATTTGCCCAGTGCTCAGGTGCCAAGTCCTTGAAGAAATCATGTGCTCGTTGTTTACCCTCCTCTTTTAATTTTGCAAGCTTTTCATGGAACCCTACCACAGTTGGCTCATAAGCACAATCACCCAAACTACTTACTTGGTGATCCCTAAATCCATTATCAATTCCTTTCATCCGGTCTCTTAAATTGCTCTTCAAGTGTTGTAAGCAATAACCGTGATGAGCCGATGGGAACACCTTCGGCATAGCTTCTAACAGGCCAAGATTACGATCCGAAATAAAAGTAATCTGGCGGTTACCATCAACAACCTTCCCAAGTTCATGCAAGAACCACGACCAATTCGCCGTGGTCTCCGAATCAACAATCGCAAATGCAACAGGAAACAGACCTACAACACAACACCAATACACAACTGTTCATAGTATTCCAAAATGAATAGAAAACAATATAAACGAAACAGGTCATGTGAATGTTTATGTCTACCTTGCCCTATTACTATTGTTATTTCTGGATTCAAGTTCATAAACAACAATGATGTGAACATTCACATTAACGACCATCAATAATTCATTTTTGATTGTTCAGCAATTAATAATGTGAACATTCACAGTACTGTTCATTAACGGATCAACTGACAGTAGTATACACTGATGTGAATGTGAATGTTCACATAACTATCATTAGCAGGCACAGATGTATAATAATGTGAATGGATCAGTGTAGAATAATGTGAATGTTCATATTACAAGCATCAGCAGACACAGATGTGAACATTCACATCAGTGCATACTAATGTCAATGTTCACAATACTTATAATTTCTCCATCACTCATTTGTCCATACTATGTATGTCAATGTGAATATTGACATGAATATAAAGGTAAAAAAAATACTAACCATTGTTTCTGTCTTTTGCCGTTACCGCCAGTAGCTGACCTTTGTACTTTCCTTTGAGGAATGTTCCATCCAAGAATAATAAAAGCCGACAAGAATTGAACCCAAAAATACACGCAGCGAATGACACAAAGAAACGCCGAAACTGTTGACTACTCACATTATAGTCAATATTGACATAACTCCCCGGATTGTGCCGCATCACAGCATCCGAATACCACCGTAGCTGGTCAAACGATAATGAGTGATCTCCATGAATACCAGCCTTTGCTTTCTCCACAGCCAACCATACGACATGGTAACTCACATCTAGCCCATAATCCCTCTTCAAAATAGTCACAATATCACACGGCCGAGTCAATGGCTTGTCCCTCACAATTTCAGATATGGTACTCGACACCAAATCCGAACTAACTCGCGGATTCTTCGATGTTCGGACATCCGTACCACACGTATGCACATCACTAAAACTCTTGATGTAGAAAAAATCATTTGCTCGTTGTGCTCTACAATGTATAGCCCACAAGCAGCCCCTCTCCTCCTGCATCGCACACACAGCAGTAACTCTTGTTGTCTCGTTCTTCACGTATGTAAACTGAAACCCATATTGGATGGCGTACTTACATAAAACGTCACGAAATTCTTGTGCACCTCCAACAAACCGTTGTCCCACATGCGTAATACCATTTTCCCAAGGGGCTGACAACAACACCTTCTCGTTATGGTGGCAAAATCTTCGTAATGCATCAATTTCTTCCTCAATCCCCACACGCACCAATCCCAAACCAGTTGACTGAACAATACCACTTTTCAACTCAACCACAACTTCTACATGTTGTACCCCCATTGATTTAGCAAACAGTAACATGTTCTGAAATTCTTCTTCATTGTCCAAATCACACTTCCTAATCCCAGGTAATTTACAGAACAGTGAAATAGAACCAGCAGACAACTTATCCCATTTCTAGTTTACAGAACAGTGAAATAGAACCAGCAGACAACTCATCCCATTTCTCACACAAACACTCCACCAAACGAGAATAACACATTGCGCGGGCAACATTTATTACAGTTGTACTGCAACCATATGTACACACCAATAGCATAAAGGTATCCATCTCCTATAAAAACACAAAAACACAACAACGAACAGTAATAAAAATCAATATGAAAATTCACTTTGTGCAAAAAATAGATGAGTACGCGTACAGTTGAAGTGCTAAATCCATACTTCAGAATAGGAAGATGTGAACATTCACATTGTTGTTAACAACATGTCAACATTAAGCAAACATCAAAGTAATATGAGAAAATCAACAATCTTCACATCATATTCGCAAGATGTGAACATTTACATTGACACAGACACTGTAAATTATATGACACATACAGAGCCTCATTGAGCAAACATCAATTTTAAATGAGAACATCCACATTCTTCACATAATCCACATTAACAAAATGTTAACATCCACATTGACATTATATGACACACACAGAGCCTCATTCAGCAAACATCAATTTTAAATGAGAACATCCACATTCTTCACATAATTCACATTAACAAAATGTGAACATCCACATTGACATATATACTGATAATCAAATCATCTACATAGATCCTCATTACGCATGCGTCCAAGTAAAATGAGAACTACACATTTAATCAAAATCGACATGAAAAATCACATTGTTCAAAAAATCAAAAATTACTACGTGTACAATTCAAGTGCTAAATCCATAATTCACAAATACAAAGATGTGAACATTCACATTTATATTAACAAGATGCCAAAATTGCAAACATCAAAGTAAAAATGAGAACATCAACAAACTTCACATAATATTAACAAAATCTGAACATTTACATTGACACATACACTCTGAATTATATCACACACACAGAGCCTCATTAAGCAAACATCAATTTAAAATGAGAACATCCACATTCTTCACATAATCCACATTAACAAAATGTCAACATTCACATTGCCATATATACTGATAATCAAATCATCTACACAGATCCTCATTATGCATACGTCCAACTAAAATGAGAACTAACATTGTTCTTCACATAATATGAATGTACTCCCCTCCACAGGACCACGTAAGAAGCATATAATTGAAAAACCAGCGCATCCAATTCATATCAATCCAAAAACAGAGCATCTGCTCCATCATACAAATGAACTGAACATGTATTCATAATCAAATTGATACTAACCTTAACCATGCAATCCTACAATCCTCCAGAAAGTCGAACACAACTGATTCGAACTACTTAAAGCTCGGAAAATGTGACAGCCGAACACCTACCTCTTTGTCATCTTCACTCGCAAACCACAGAACCAGACTAGAACACCAATAATGAAACCCTAGCACCACCAATCCTTCGAACGAGTATGCAAAACATAAACGTATCTCTTGGAATTGGATTGATGAAGAAAAACGTAAAATAGAAACTGCCAAACTGTATCAACGAGGAAACAACCACGTAAACAGGCACGTAATATGTAAATAGGTATTAACACTGTACACACACATACATACATACATATATATATATATATATGGGGGCAAAATAATCTAGGAAAATATATTAAATTAGGAAAATGGACCTTATGGAATAAAAAGAAAAGTTTATGGGACTAATCAGATTATAATATTCTTTTGTGGACCTAATGGGTTATAACAACTCTAGAATGGATTTATCAATAAAAATCCCTTTTTTTTTTAAACACCAATTTATATATTTTTGATAAATTTTAAATATAATTATCGCTTAGCGATATAGAGACAATGGTTAAAAAAATACTAAAGATATAAAAAAAAAATATCAAATCACTCACATGAATGTGAGATGTGGGTGTTTATTAAAAAAATTTAATAAAAAATTTAGTGTCTTTAATATTGTTGATATTTAAATTGTTGTAGAGAGGTTTAATTTATTCAAGATATAAAAATTGAAAAAACGATTAAATTGGCAGCAGAGAAAAAAATTTACAAAATTATTTAAAAAGTTAATATTTTAATTATTAAAATTTATAATCTTAATCACTGACTTGTTATTTTTTTACTTTTTTTGACTGATACAATTTAAAAAGTTAATATTTTAATTATTAAAATTTATAATCTTAATGACTGACTTGTTATTTTTTTACTTTTTTTAACTGATACACATGCTGTTATTCCCCCTTTAAAAATAGTGTAATTTATCATAATTCCAAAGCCAAACACATGGTCTTGTTTGGGAAGTTGACTATTTTAGTAGGCTATTTTATTTTTTGACTATTTTATTAGGCTAAAATTTTTATGTTTAAAAAGATACTTATAGTTCAATGAAATGTTTGTAAAACACAAAAAATAAAAAATTATAAACTTAATATGACATTTTGTCTTATTAAATATTTTAACTTATTTTATTTATTTATTTGTTTTGTTTTTGTAAATCTTAACCTAAAATGCCAGACTTTAGGTTTTTTTTTTTTTAAGGTAAACTCCGGGCCGACCAAATTTTAGGGTTTACCAAACAAGGAGATGGTGGCCGTGAAAACACCCAAGTGGTAGTGAGTGGTTCCTCAGGCGGGTTCAGCTCTTCCCAATCTCTCGCGACTCGAAGACTCCTCCACCCCTCCCTCCCTCACTCCCTCCCCATATTCATATTGGCCCATCATCAATCAGCAATGGCGGCAATCTTAGCTCGCAAATCTCTCTTCGCTCTTCGCTCTCGTCACCTTGTAAGCCTCTCTCTCTCTCTCTCTCTCTCTCTTGTGTTTGCACCCGTGTATATGTATATATATTGTTCTGGGTAATTTTCATGTGATACACTGAAATGGATTTTGATTCGTCTTGATTTGGGAAAGTACTGTTAAATCGGTTAATATAGAGTCTAGTTAGATTCTCTAGGGCTCGAATGTTTTAATCAAGATTGAGGTTTCACAATTGGCTATGTCATTTCAATCATAAGTTTAATTTCTAACTTGATTTGGTATTTGGACTGCTAATTTCCCACAAACACGAATTATTGTTCATTAACTAATTTTTTGAGGGATTCTAGAAATGGACCGAAGATACTGAAATCTCGCAGAATCCACCTATGGTCTAGATAATATGAACCCTAATTATGAAATGAAGGGGAAGAGGAAAAAATTACACATGCATAGTGGTTTGGGGTAATTCCCCCAAGCGGGAATTGGCTATTTTAGTTGACGTTTTGGCATTTTATGAAAATATGTGTAAAAAAAGTAGAGAGTGATATCACACCTTATAGTGACTTTTTGGCTAAAGACAATATTGAGTGGAATCCTTAACATGATGGTTGTTGCTTCTAATACTGTTACATTCATCTTAATTATTATTATCACCATCATTACAAATGGGCAACGGATGCTAAAATTGTATTGTGTGAATTGGTATGTAGGCCTTGGCCAGACAAACATTGCATAACCCGAACCATTATGGTATGGCATTGGCTACATGTTCATTTGCCACAAAACAGTCATTTTCTACTGATAAAGGTTTGCACTCTGTTCCCACATTTGTTCAATCTCCCATCTTGTACATGTACATGCATGCAGTACATTCTTGCAAGGGTTATCTTAATCAGCATATTATATTTTAGAGAGAATTAGCCAAAATTTGTTCACATATTGTGCTTTCATGATGTGTTTAAGGATGGAAAAATCTTTATTTGAGTCCGGAAAGAGATAGTGAAAGCACATATGCCTTATACACTGACTGATCTTCATTATGTTACTTGTATTGCATGAATCAACTTGCAGTTTTTGGGTTAGGATTTTTTTGAATTATAGAGGGACTTGCCACATCAGATGATACTCTTGTGATAGTGTGAGATCCATTATGCAATTATTTGACAACTTACTTGGATTGAGAACAATATATTTGTAGTTTTACCATTGGTTAAAAGATTTGGCTATTGCTTGATAACAGTATTCTTAACTTGCCAAGCCCGTGCAAAATTTCATGCAAAGTTTAATGGAGCGGTCATATCATAAAATGTTTTGGTTTCATAGTTGTTGTTCCAAGTAATGAGGATGCTTGTTATTGTAGAAGGCATCTGTTGAATATCATTTCAGAAATTTAGTAGTCAATAAGTAAAACATGTGCAGCTAGTTGTTGGTATCGTACTATACATGATATATCATATACTTTGTTCTAGAAGTATGTTGATAAACATATTCTTATAAAGAAGTTATATTTTATCGTTTTACTATTGTGTTAAGATTAAGAGTTGTGTTTTCTTTTCTCTCATTATCTTGTTAGAATTTGAAGGGGAATTGTGCTTTCTTCCCCTCTCCTCACATTTTCCATTAGAATCTATGCATTACACAACTCCTATTATCTAAATACATACATGTGCACTTGCCTAAAACATTTGGTTTATGGAAATTAGTCATCATAGGAACAATTTTAAACTCAAAATTTGTAAATCAAAACTTGAAATCTTCATAAGTTGGAAGCTCAATCAATACATGTATATATTGAATATTAATTATCAACAATAACATTAGGGTGATTACATTTAAGTACCATATGATGTGGTGCCTTGCAGGACTCTCGTATCATTTGATGAACTCCGCATTTTATCTAGTAAGCATCAACACTAATATTTTGTGGGCCCTGTCAAACGATGGGTTAGCGCCATGTAAGTTTTGGCTTCAAAATACATGATAGACGCAATACAAGCAGTTTGCTTCATAGTTTGCTAGAGATGTTTTGATTGAGTCCCTCCCGCTATGAATCTTCTCTTAAGATCTCGGCCGTACCCAAGGTTTTGAAAAGCGGTTGCGGTGGCGCGGTTGCAGTTGCTGGGTGTAAAGGCCATAGTATAATGGTTACGATAACCAGAATTGTGATTTTTTTTTTAATTTTTTGCACAATTTGAAGAAAACTTACTGATACGCATATTTTCTTTCTTTTGAGAATCACATTTATTGAGGTTTAAAATAGATTTTAATCAATTTTTGTTAATTTTTAAGTATGATCCAATATACATATTTTTAAATCACTATAAAAGGAGTTTTTTATATTTTATTTCAATAGTTAATGACTTTAAGAATAATTGATTTTAAATGTTTACAAATTATTTTTGACCAATACCTGAACTAACTGAATAAAAAATATTCACAATTATTAAATGATTATAAAAATAAAAATTGTGCCATAAACAAAAATTATTTGATGCATTTTTTTAGACAACACTTTACAGCTAACTAAATAAAATTATTTACAATTAAGTATTAAATGAAATGATTATAAAAATAAAAATAAAAATTTGCCATGTACAAAAATTATTTTTGAACTACTGGTTTTATTTATTTTTTAAAGGCATTTTTTAGACAACACATTAGCAAAATAAAAAATATTAAATAAAATGATTATAAAAATAAATGCAACCACTGTTTATATATTTTTTATTTTACATGCTAGTGTAATGAAATAAAAATTTTAAAAAAAATTATAAACAAAAAAATTCATATAAGATTTTTTTCTTTGGGTTTAGATTACTTGAGTATTTGTTACTCTTTTGTGAACTTATTTTTTTTTTTTTTTTGGGAAAAGGAAACTATTTAGAATATTGTTAAAGGGTGTAATGGTGTGTAACGAACCGTTACAACTATTATGGGACCGCTACGGCCGTTACGCAACACCGAAGCGACCGTTGCACATGTAAATTTCTATCACACTGATATAACGGCCGTAACAGGTGATGGTAATCATCACGTTACGTAACGGTTGCGGCCGCTTTTTAAAACCTTGGCTGTACCCCACCATGTCAACATGTAAGATGGTACCCAAATGTGGTTACAATAGCATTTTGACCTTCCCTTGTTCCAAATTCTTGGGCCTGGCTATATGGATTTATCCTCTTCAATTGGTTCTATTTGAAGTTGTATTATTAGTTAAGTTTATGTTAAGCTTGCCCTTGCTTACCTCAATCCATGTTCTCATTGACATTTTAAAAAAAATTATTTTCTTACCCTCTACGTGGATCAAACCACTTTTCGTTACAAGTGTGTTAATTGGTTTATGATGCACATGGTCATACAATCTTAAATGACTTTCCTCATTTTTTTACTTCAATTGGTGCTACTTATAAGTTCTCTTAAAAGGATTCATTTCCTTTTTTTGTTCCCACTCATCCATTTCAACATTATCTTTTCAGCTATACTAATTTTCTTATTTACTGCTTATGGTGTTTCTTAACTTCACAACATCTTGCACCATACATCATAGCATGTCATATCACAGTCCTGTAAATTTTTTCCCCAAAATATTTTGCCAATATAATTTTATGTTAGATTTAAGCAAATGAATATTTGGAAGTTAATTTGTCTTGTGAGTTGTAAATGAATATGACTCCTGGTGTATCATATTTGCAATTTATTTAGGGAATTTTGCTTATTATTCTGTATTTCCTTTTAGTATTTGTTCAAACAGCATAGAGTTTGATTTGTGATGTGATATCATTTTTTGACAACTTTGATGAGCATCAGAAAAATACTATGGTATCAAGTCATGTGCTGATGGTTACTTAGGTCCTTTCTATATCATATTATGCTAGGTGTTTGGAAAATGAAGGCTTGCTGTATTTCAGCTTTTCTAATCAGTTCATTGATGTTCACTCCACTTTCATTATAACATCTATTGGGTGTTGTTTGGTAACGTTTACAGTTGATTATTGGTAAAAACAAAAACAAAAACATGTTTGGTATGCAGTTTTATGTTCAATACGCAGGTTGCTTTTTCTTTGATTCTGTGTTTCTGTCTTGACATGTAGGTAGGTCAGTGTATTGGCTATTGTACCCAGTTTATAAATTAAAAAAAATAAAAAATTGTGCTTATCTATCTAACCGAAGATAACCTGTTTCAAATGTTTCCTTCTGATCCATATGCCATTTTTGTAATGACTTCGAAATATGTCCATGTTTTAAAGTTATCCTGAGATTAACCCCCAAAACAGAAGTTGCACCTAGGTGGATGCCAATGGGGCAGTGTGGTGATGGATTTGTAGTGGCTCACCCCCGCCTTCAATCATATTGGGGGTTCGAGGAGGTGGGGGGTTAGGGCGTGGATGGGTTAATTTTGTAACCTTAGGAATAACAAAAGTAAGAGATGATATGATCAATTATGGATAATGACTGATAAGAGTTTAAAAATGTAAGATGAGAGATAAAGAAGTAAAATTTAGTTTTGTGTGTAATATTTTGATGTTTTAGTATTACTTTATTAAGAAAATTAAATTATATATATATATATATATTGTATTCAAAGAAAGAGATTTAACAAATATAATCAGGATGAGGATGTTGTAGGACAGGTTTGGGGAAGGAAACCCATATCTGTTCCACTTCCTCATCGGGGTGGGGTTACATATCTAGGTCTTCTCAGGTACTTCGGTTTTTATGTGGCTTTATTGCTCTGTCACATAGTTCTCAGGCATGTAATTCCTTAAATGGATTGTTGCATGCTTGCAGAGTCCTGATTGGAATGCCTTTATTTGTTTGATGATATTATGGATGATCAAATGGTTTTTTTTTGTTTCTTTTCCCTTTGTCCACAAACTCCAGATGATGAAGAAAGGGAGAAACTCGCTAAGGAGATTTCTAAGGATTGGAGTTCTGGTAATTCTCTTTTATGAGTGATTCGACCACTTCACTTAGCAATTTGAATCTAGTACGTTTACTTCAATATGCGGTTTAAAATTCCTAATGATCTCCTACTAATTCCAGTGTTTGAACGAAGCATAAATACTTTGTTTCTCACTGAAATGGTTCGTGGTCTGATGCTCACGCTCAAGTATTTCTTCGACCCGAAAGTTACTGTAAGTTTTTTCTAATAGTAATTATATACAAAAAAAAAGAAGCCGCCTTTATAGAAAATTAATATAGAATGATGTGGCAAGTTTGGATTATATCACTTTAAAGAAAAAGACCCATGAAGATGACTTGCATGTGCACAAATGCCACTGCCACTGCCACTGCCACTGCCACATCGTTCTTGTCATGAATTCTATTTAAAAATTCTATGAATAATTCTATAGACAATATCACTCTTACTAAAAGTACAATGGCTAAATATGATTGGTTGTCAAAAAAGCAATGATGACAATTAGGGTTGTGCAAAATACCGCCCAATCCGTTAAAACCGCACCGATCCGCATTAATCCGCACTGCTTTATACGCTAACCACGGATTAAATTTTAAAATTTATAATTTGCTTTCGAAACCGCTCCGTTCCTCTATATTTAATGCACATATTTTTTTTTTTATTTCTAATGAAATATCAAAGTAAAAATGTGTGAGAGAAATTTAAGATGTGAAATTTATTACAAATTAGTAGTTACATATATGAAATATATATGTAAAATTAGTTTGTGCTGTATATATGAAAAATATTATGTAAATTAGTGTTATATATTATGCAAATGTTTGATGATTGGTTAAAATATTATCAATCCGCCAATTCCCTCAAAACCGCTCAAACCATAATTTATCAATTGGCCATTCGGTTTGTAATTTTATTCTTAAACCGTCCGAACCGCACCGCGCACACCCCAACCGCACCGCGCACACCCCAACTTGTGTTCCGCTTATTTGAACATAAAATATGTGTTGGTATATATTTTTTGTATTTTCTGACGTTCGATATGATGAAAAACAAAACTCAATAAAAAATGTTTTCATTTTGAAATATGAGAAATATTTTTCAGATTAAAATTTTACATATATCACCATGCCTCCCTCCTTTACCACACCCCAACTGCCACCATTGTCGCAACCACCTTCACCATTCTATCACTAATATAACAATTAATATATTAGTTAAAAGATAAGAATTAGATATAGGAAGATGTTTTTTTTACAAAAAAACGTAATTTAAAAAAAATTATTAAAAAATACTTTATATCAAAACAAATATACCATTAAAAATGGGGCCCTTCAAATGGTGAATTGACGGTTCATTTTCTTTTGTCATAAGATACAAGGCCTAAATCGCAATCTTACTGCCACATTTTTTTCTCATGTCTTGCATCTTAATGAAAACATTTGAGGAAAAAAGTCAGAGAAGCCACCAAAATCACCCTTGTTCAAATTCTCAGGTCTTTCATGTTTTATGTTTTTCTCACTTTATTCTTAAAACTAATTTCTATTTAAAATTAGATAAAAAAATATCACAATAATGGTCAATAACATAAAAATATATTATTATATTAGAGCTTAAATTTATATCAGGGATGTGAGTTATATATAATAAAATATTTTTATACTACGTGACTATCAATGTGTCATTTCTGTCTAATTTTTATCAAAAATTAGTTTTAGGAGTAAAGTCAAAAAACTTGAAACATGAAGGGTCCAAAGTGGGAAAAAAATAAATTTTAAGGGTTAAAGTGAGAAAGTGATCAAATATAAAGGGGCAAAGTATAATTTATCCAATTTTAATTATATGAAAATGACATCTGTCATTGATCATTTTTTGGCAACTTTTGCTATTTGTTGTTTGTAATTTGTGTGGGGGTTTTTTGTTTGGTCTTTTGGAGTATTTTTGTTTTGGTATAATGTTTATTTTTATTTTAATATAACTGCATTATGACAAAAGACATCTGTCATTGATAATTTTTTGGCAACTTTTGCTATTTGTTGTTTGTAATTTGTGTGGGGGTTTTTTGTTTGGTCTTTTGGAGTCTTTTTTGTTTTTTGTTTTTGGTATAATGCTTATTTTTATTTTAATATAACTG